GCACCGGCCAAAACGCCGTCTTCTTTCCATGCCTCGCCTGGCTCTGCCTCCTGGTCCTTCGATGGTCCATAACGTGTAGTTTTTGTACGTTTGTTTCTCTTCAGAAACCGAATCTTCATGCGTGAAACTTTGTGTGCTATTTCCAGTGATCACAACTGACATATTCATGTTAGGAAAGAGTGCAAGAATTTTCCGCGCAAGATTCCTTTAAGCTGCACATCATGAATTCATGGACCTCTTCCGATCCTCCTCGTCTTTAGTTAACTTTTATAAGCTTACGATGCATGTTAGATTATACAAGCATACATGCTGTACAAGCATACAGACAATTCGAGTTCATATATCGTATTGCAGAGTTTCGAATATGCGGTGGAAGTGCTCCGTAGCGTGCAGAACTGTGATTTCTTACCAGTTGTGATAATAGAAAACAAAATAGATCTCATCGATGACTACGACTTTTCGAACAAGGATGTCATTGAAAACTCGGTCAGACAAGCAAGGATACGGCTCTACAGGTGAGAGTTTTCTTACCAAATCCTAAATTATGATTCACGCCAAACGTTGACGCCAAATGCTGATAAGGAATTATCAGTGAACGCTTGTTGATTGAGGGGAATGGTCAAGGGGGTAGAGACCAGCTATGAAAATCCCTATCCGTATTTGGCATTGAAGTACTCTGCTGCAGTGGACGACTGAGCAACCTAAGCAAAGATTCGCTCCATCTCCCATACTTCTGGGATACATCTGAATTACAGCTTACGTAAAGAACGAAGACAGCGAGGAAAATGAACATTGCGCACTCAGTTATTCAGCTTTGTTCTATCTACGCCAGGCGTTCTTCCATCAAAACGTAGTGGCCCTAAAATGCGATTTGATCTTTGCAGCGACTCGGCGACGGGCTGGAGGGGTGGGAATAGCAAATGTAGAGTGGATCAAAATTATGAGGACCAAGACATTGTGTCGTTAAAAACGCATAGTAGCTTGATGGAACAAACAAACTTCAGGGAAGTGTTTGTAACTCTTATCTCAAAGTAATTCCAGAATAGAATTGAGATCTGCCACCTGCCCCGTTTACACGAGCCTTCAGATGAAGGGGGGGGGGCGCGTGCGGTGGCACGCAACTGAGGCGTGTCAAAATGTTTCCAGGCCTTCTGCTCTGTTTTCTTCAGGGTATCCGATTTTTGCCTCCAGGGTGTAAAATACAGAAATCTAGAGCTAAGTGGAGGTTCCATTGTAACAATTCTAACGAACTCGAAAAATCGCTTTTTAGAGAATTTTTGCTTTATTCTTGGGTGCTCGGTCCTGTAAAAAGTCCCAAGTAGACTACTCGTGTGGCTTTCTATCCACTACAGATGTGGAGTCTTTAGAGTGTCTGGCTGGGTTTTCACATCAATTTTTTCATTTTGGTGTACGAAAGTCGACAAGGGAGACCTAGTTTCTGCATCTGATAATTATCCTGGTGGTAACTGTAACTTTCGAGTCCCGAATTTTCCATCTGTGGTGGTTCCAAACTTATTGAAGAGTTGAACTGTTGCTCATAAGAGCTTCCCTGATACGTTAGACTGCCGCTAGATGTAACGTGCCAGAGCCCTTAGTGAGTTCAATTTGAGGACTGACTCAAAGTGAAGTAGTTATTTCACTAGTTTTGAGAACTTCATGAAATTTGGTTTCATTAGGAAGAAGACATTGTACCCTTTCACATAGTGCACAGAAAAGAGATGAAAATGGAGCGACTCGGAAAAAAGTGGACTGCGCGTGCACGCGTCCACATAATTTTGACCCAAACTGTACAATTTGGGTCTTCATTTTCCGAGTCGGGAGTGGGATTAAGAAAAAATTTGTTGCAATTGACTGGTTTTGGAATAATCTGGGTATTGGCTAAAACGACAGACGAAACCGGGGTTGATCTTGAGGAGCCCGTGCCCATGCTAAATCAAACATTCCATCCTTCCGCTGAATGTAAGAAAAACTTGCCTGAGAAAATAGTAGTGGAAGTGTGTTTCACAGATTTGCGGTTTGTTTTTTTCGTTCTTGGAACCTTACAGTCCAGCGCTGCTACTTTTTAGTTTAGCGCTACTACAGCTTTTTTGAGAAGCAACATTATTCCGTATTTCTTAGTAATTCGGTCGGGACTCGTCGGTGATACGATCCGCTCCATGTTTTGCCTAAGGGAGGATCCCGAACGAAGGTTGAAGAAGGAGTACTTTACCTGGAAGAGAGACAGGAGGACCGATCTGACATAGCTGTCCCTTTTTGGCGCGGTTGGCGGGTACGCCCACCACCTAATCACTCGCCGCAGGTCTATACGTGGCGAGTGATTAGATAGCAGAGAGAGCGTAGTGTTGAAGAGGGCACAGCGATGAGAGTCGCATCAATGCGCAAATCAACGGGCAAGGAAGGGGTCCCATTTCTCGGGTTCTGGGCCGTTTCTTCTCCATCCCTGCTCCATTGAAGACCTCTACCCTTATTTCCAATGAGCTAAGACTCCATCGTGAATTCTGCCTTTCAGTGAACATCATCGTATTTCCGTTGCCCCCCCCCCCACCCTCGCTCATGGTCCAGCCACTAATTCTGAATATGTACCTTCGCTGCATTGCGGAACGACTTTTCTGCTTACTTCGAAAATCTCAATTTTTTTGTGAAATAACGTCTGTTTGAAGTGCAAGTTTTTTGGTGCAAATTTGTGCCAACGAAACCAAAATTATGAACATGGGGCTCTCACAGCTGGACACAGTGGAGCTCCGCACATACTTAAAATGTTTAGTATTGGCACTGTTATATAATATTTATCTATTTATTTTTCGACCAGATAGCTGCTTCGATTCTTATCATTCGCTTTCCTAGGAGGAATCTTGCAGTTTCTTTCATGAAATGCAGTGTTTCAGAGTTTCGGCCAAAAACGACTTCAATGTGATGCATCCATTTGCCTACGTATTAGAAAAGCTACTCCGATACAGTGATGAGAACGCCAATGTTCACGAGAAAAGCAGCTTTCAAACTTTCCATCGGCCATCTCGCGAAGGCTGGGTGGAGCGACCGGTGACAAGGTCGAGAAAAAAGAGCGTCAATTGTACCATTATGTAAATATAGGACCAATAAATGATTTTTTATAAATCTGCCTTTTTTGTCTGAGTTTTTCACTAATTAAGGAAACTCGGCAAAAGGAGTTAGTTATTCCAAATTCAGCAGCAAACGTTTCTATGATAACTACTGTTTTACGCCGCAGTTCGCGTTGCGAAAGTTTCACAAGAATGCTGAGTTGTGGGCAAAACTTTCGCCCCAGCCGGGACTCGTACCCGGATCTCTTGCTTTCCGGGCAATTGTGCTACCAGTTACACTGCCGAGGCACCATATCACCCGAACTCACCTTCAATGGTAAACCAACATAGCTTGTCAGCATTCACGCATATAACAGGCGAATTCAAGTGACGAGAAGTGGTCAACATCGACATAACGACGCATGAAGCGCAACGGTGATGGCGTTGCCGAATTCACGCAGTAGACGATCCCTCCTTTACCGCAGTGGGACCTGGTAAGCACCAAGTCGGCTCATGGGAGTTGAATGCACACCCTGCGATCTAATTGATTTGAAA